AATTAATTGGCAAGTGGATAGAATTATATATATATGTTAATTTTTTAAATTTTAATTTTTTTTTTTCGGAGGAAAGAGAAAGTCATGTTTTCCTACCATAAACTTCAGGTCCAGTGCCAGTAAAATCAAATATAGCCGACCCATCCTTTTCATCAATCGTTATCTGTAATTCAATAGGAGTTCCATCATCCATGTAATCGACCGCTTTTAAAATATTCTGCCCTAATTGATGATGTATTTTTTTCAAGAGATTTCTAACCGATAATTCGGCGTTTCGCCTAATATGCACCATATAAGCTTGAACTACATCCAAACCATATTCTTGGATTAATGCTTTCACGAGGCCAATGCCTTTGTGATTTGCAGCTACTTGAGCTTTAATATCTGCAATGTTATCACGAAGACATCTTGTCCCAGAACATTTTGGATATCGAGCGGGTTCGTGCAATAATATATTAGTAAGGCCATCAATATCAAATTTTCCTTTCGAAACGAGTTTAAATGATTTGATAGCAGCTCCTTCTTCAAATAATTCTTTTGAATGCGGTGGCATAGAGCCTATATATTAAGAAACAACGCGTTTAGATAATTTGAATTTGAAATTTCGTAATCGGATTCGGTAAATAATTTCATACCAGGTAAAATACCGCCGATGTCCGCATGGTGACCTCTTGACGCAACAAAGAATACGATTTTTCCTTCATTGAATACTGGAGTTATTACAGTAATATCTACAAATAGGAAATAACAAGTTAAGTCAATCGTCATTTATAAAAAAATAATAATACAATAAGTTGGGGTCAATAATTGCCTGGTAAATGTGATCCACCAGCTTGCGGGTGATTGGTCATAATTACATCACCGTCTTCTAATGTATCTTTGTAATACTCTATTTGATATTTAACCGTATGACTTAAGCTTCCCAAATGAACAGGGATGTGTGGAGCTGAGAAGGAAATATCAGTGTAAATATCTAAAGAAAATCACTTATGTTTCTCATAAATAGACATATTAATTGATTAATATCAAAGTTAGGCATACCATTGGCGACCAATCCTCCATCAGCCCCAAAAAGAGCACAAGAAAAATCCAACCTCTCTTTAATATTTGTTGAGATTGCTGTCTTTTGTAAAGCATTTCCCATTTGTTCAGCGATGCTCATGAATCGATGGCCAAATATAGATAATTGAATCGGATCCGATTCAGTAGTTACTTTTGATTTGGTGTTATCCCCAACAGTAATAAAAACATGAGAAGTCGTAATCAAGGCATTGCATGTCGGTGCAACGAGAATTGTAGAGGTCGAGTCAATAATCATTGCTGGTCCAGCGATTGTATTTCCAACTTTAAGTTTCTCTAAGAGATAAAGAGGAGTTTCTATACGTCCATTTTCAAAATAAACGGGAGCCGTACTATCACACTGGTCTTCTAAGACCGGTATAGGACTAATACTTTTTATTTCATCAAATATATCATGTTTAGCAATTTCAAAGCCTTTGCCTATACCACGGATCCTTATATCATCTACCAAGATTTTTCGATCTGGAAAATGGAACCCGAATTCTTGTTTATATTGTAAAGCAAAAGTTTGAGCGAAATCCCAAGAATCCTCGGGTTTCAAAGTCATAATTGCAAAATCAGTTCCTTGGTATCGTAAATTAAGATAAATATGATGTTGAATATGCGATTCATCGAATCCTTGCGACTTAAGCTCTTTCGTACATGCATCACAAAGAGCATTAATTCTTTCCATTAAATACGGCAGCGAATCATCTGAATAAGTTTTCGAACAAGGCTCGAGAACTTCATGAACAACA